CTCCTAAGGACCGAACCTCGCAGGTTCGCTTCTAATGTCCGGTTTTCGACCACTTTCGCCTGTTAAGCCCGTTTTTGATGTTTTTGACGGGGAATTTTTTTACCAAATTCATATTTTTACCATTTTAACTCCCTAAACTCATATTTTATTCATTTCTCAAGGATTTATTAATTAAAAATCATTAATTTATATTAAGAAGAGTATTCTACCCCACAAGTGGGTCAAGTGTGCCCACTTATCTCCATGTGTCATCTTCTCATTGGTCCAACCCTATCCATATCACACAAACTAAGGTAAACATCCTTTCAACTTTGCAAATTGCTCCAACAACATCTATATAAAGAAATCCCTGGAGGATTTCTTTGTTCACTTTGATCACTTCCAACACTTACACACCTCTTAAACCTCTCTAGAGAGCCTCTTTTTCTCTCTACTTCCAAACAACTTTTTGAAGTGTTCTTGAGCTACTACTTCACTTTTTGGTAAGCATTTCATCTAAACTCAAGTGTTATTCCATATTTTCCTAACACTCTTGGATCATCGACCCACATTTTAACACCAAAGATCGTTCTTAGGATCATCCAAGCTTTCACGTGATCATCAAGTGTTCTTGACTTGATACTCCTCGTCTTCGACCTTCCACTCTTCAAGAAATCACTAAAGGTGAGTTCATACCCCTACATTTTCCAGCTTTCTTTAGTTTTCAGGGGGGATACAGTTAAAACACCAAAACATATTTAAAACTTAACTTAACAGCTTACAACAGAAAAGTTGTGACCTGTTCACGAACTGTTTTACACAACTTAAACTTAATATTTTTCAAAACTGTTTAATATGCAAATAAATAGCTAAGGTTTATACCTTTAAAATGACTACTTACACATCTCCATACGTTCTTTCTACAATTTATGGTGATTTTTACAAAACTGCCTATCACTGCAGCAACAAAGTCGGACCAGGTTGTGAAGATGAACATTTTCACACTGCTTTGAGACCACCAAAAATTATAGAAACATTTTATGAATACAGTAGACTCTTTTTATAAACTCTCCGAGGTTACGGATTCAGTTTTCGACTTACGATGATTTTTCTATGAATATTCTAAAACAGTGACAGTTAAGAGTAAAACTGTCAAAAACATGTTTAAGAGTTATCCACACCTTGTAACATGCTGAGCAAGGTGTGTACGATTTACACTTAGTATTTTCAATGTCATTTTATTGAAATACAAAGGCATGCATAACAAAGTTTCATTCAAACACACAACACTTTTGATAAACTATAATAGGTATAGTTTGAGCACTTCGTTTAACAAAGAAAACAGTAACACAATCGATTTACAAAACGGGTATTTCATTACAGATTACGTGAACTTGTTAATGAATAAATTTGTGAGACATTCTCTTTAGGGGTACTCTTAAGTACCACAGAAAAGTCCTGTAGTTATAATCAGAATCTCCTGGAGGGAGAGCGTGATAGTTGTGTATAGATCTATATTGGGTCTGACAAACCCGCACCTAAGCTGCTTGCAACAGCTAGACCGGCATGTCTGGGGTGACAAGTGTCATAACATTCCGACGCCTGAAGAACGTCGAGTACGAGGTCTTCGAGTTTTTAGTATGGTTATAACATCTCACATGGGGAATTAACAAAACACACAGTTCACGGAAATTTAAGGAGTTTATTTAAATATAAAACCACACACATAAGTATGACGATTTACTTATATATACTAAGTCTTGGTTCGGTTAAGACTACAACAAACCTTTTTTAGAAAATATTGGATTTTCTGGAAACAAACTTGTAATAAACTTTAAGGAACAACATTCATTTTTTCATTCATAAACTGCTTATGAACTCACCAGCTTTAATGCTGATACTCTTTCAAAAACAACTTGTATTCTCAGGTATTCAGTAATACAGGTAACCACAAGATTTTTGAAGGCAAGACGCTAAGGCGCAGATTTCTTTTGAACTATTTTGACATCATATGTAATTTATTTGAAAACATGTATTTTTTGCAATGATGTAACCTTTTAAATTATATTTATGATGGTTGTGTTTACTTTCTTCACTATGGTTGTGATACTGAGCATGACGTCCTCCACCCCCGAACGTTTCCGCCGTTCCGGTTTGGGGGTGTGACAATCTACCATCTCGATATCCTCATAATCTTGTGTAGTAAACACTTCTGTGGGATGAGGGAGTATCGAAGATGGTCCCCAACTGGCAGCATCGGTCGAGGTCGCACCGTCAAACAACTAGGTGCATAGATCTGGGTAAAGGAGGGGCACATTTTCTTAATTTCTCAACCATCTTGTTCAACTGTTTGAAAAAATGATTTTATTATTAAACTTTTAAAACAAAATAATAATGTGTTTTAAACTAAAAGAATACATTCGCCTCCACTTTCCACTCTTCATCTGTCATTTGAAACGTGTTTGTTATAGGATTATAGAGATTTCCAATTTTGTTTTTTAATTTCAACCAAACTGCATACTTGCTTTTCAAGTAGTCATAACGATATTTCATTTGTTTTTTTCAACAACAAAGTCATGTTCTTTTTTTAGTTTTTCATCTATTGTATTCCATGAAGTACCTTTGAGACCACTGCCCTCCCGACCGTTACTTGTTAGTTCTTGTATACATGCATCAAGAAAAGTTGTGTTCACAAAATCCAAAGACCAACTAGCTCTACTTCTCTTTTCTGTCATGTCTAAGGAATAAATGAATGATAAACATGTTACACAGATATATATACACATATACATGTATACACCAATATACACACAAATTTGCACTCATATACACAAATATATATACATATACACATGTACACAAATATTCACAAATATACACACATACACATAAATGGAATCTGTCATTTAATAGCAATGTAATATCAACAACAATAAAATAAATAACAGCCAAAAAACAAACAAAATCATAGATAGACTGCTGAAATCTAATTATATATGTACCTATATTTGACAAATAAATGACTATGTTTGTGTTCAACATTTATAATAACAACAATATAACAGCAGACGTATGCATATGTGTATGTTTTTAAGATCAATATTATATGTATAAAGAGAATGATAAAGAGGATGGAAACAAGGAAGGCAAATGTGTATGGAACAAGTGGGGGGGAAGAAATCATAACATTAAATCATAGAACATTTAAAGAAGAATTTTGAAAGAGAAGGAATGAATAAAGGAAGAACGTTACATGTTGATGGACGTTTGCTCCTGATGTTGTTGTTGGTCGTGTTTGCTACTGTTGTTGCTTCGTAGATGGGAGATTATCAGGGGGAGGGGATGAAATCAGAAGATGTGTCGCAACATTAATAAGGTAATGTGTTTTTTGTTTTCTTTTCTCGGTCCATCAAATAGAAAGCAAGGACCGAGTTTGGTGTTTTTATTGGACCGAGTCCACATATTGGACTGAGTCCCTACATCTATAATCCCTATCAAACATGTCAATTGGTTTTTTTATAGACTTAGTTAGACACCATATCAAACGACTCCTTAGTGAAACAATTCACCAACACAAGAGTTGTGAATGTCATAATCATTCTCTTTATTAAGAACAGTGGCGAGTTTATATACATATTTGGTGGGTCATTTGCCCCACCTTTTTTTTAAATTACAAGTTATATATAATAAATTAGTGTGACCTACCTTAAAAAATATGAGTGAACCATCTTAATATTTTTGACAAAAATATATATAATAATAAGTCAGTGGCGAGTTTATATACATATTTGGTGGGTCATTTGCCCCACCTTTTTTTTATATTACAAGTTATATATAATAAATTAGTGTGACCTGCCTTAAAAAATATGAGTGAACCATCTTAATATTTTTGACAAAAATATATATAATAATAAGTCAAATATTTAGAGCCCTTGTTCTATGTTTTAATAGCCAAATGTTTTTAAGGTATAATCCAATATGCATAGCCCAATACCAAAAAAAAAAAAAAAAAAAAAAAAAAAGTTAAGGTCTCTCACGAACATTTTTCACAGCGACGCATGAAGGCTTCTACTTCATTCAAATCGGCGATCATATTATAACCATTTGCCCACCACATGTATTTTACTCAATTAGTCAATTTTATTAATTTTGTGAATTGTGAACAACAAATATATGGTAATTCTTTATATTAATTTTGTTAGTTTTGGTCTTTTGGAATTCTAATGCCAAAAAGATGGTCGAAGCACAAAAACATATAATATATCCTAAGGTTACTTTGTCTCGAAAAGTGCATTGATCTTACCCATTGCAACAACGAGTGTGGAACGTGTATTTTCAGCAATGAAGTTGGTAAATACTGATGTACGCAACAAAATGGGTGATCAATTTTTAAATGATAGTTTGGTGTCATATATTGAAAAAAAAATGTTATAGATAGTATTAGTAATGGTACAATTGTGAAATTATATCAAGCTATAAGATCTCATCAAGACCTCGTCGAGTACAATTGTAAGAACTTAATTTTATATATATATATATATATATTTTTTTTTTGCTTTTACGACTCGATCTGATCCGAACCCGCAATAATATTTTTTTTATATTTTTTTTTCATTTATCGGTTTCATTTAAATAAGAGAGCTTGTACAATCTCGTTTAGTTGCTATGTGCAACAAACGCAATCTTACTTAGCAAGAGGGAGTCTAATTTGTGAAGTTCTTGAATGCTAGGGTAGAAAAAGAAATAAACTTTATAATTTGTACCAATCTTGCAAGTTGCATTATCAAAAACTCCCACTTTACGCAATCGTAAATACTAGGCATAATTACTAATTAACCCTCAAATCACAATCGGAGCGTCACACTGAGGAGCGCATATGCTCAAACGTCTAATTTTCTCAACGGTCACAAAATCAAAACCCTACAAACTTCCCCCGATTTATCCCTCTTCCTCCATCAACCCTAATCAATTCTCTCAATCTCTTTCCAATTTCTGTCCTAAATTCTTTTCTTCCTGTAAAAATGAGTGTTCTTGGCGAACACCCAGAAGTAATCATCAACAAGAAAGATCTACAGGTATGGAACAATGCAGTGTTCGACAATGGCGCTGATTCCGAGAGCTTGAATTCGAACAATCTCATCAAATCGCCATCGTGGTTTGTGAAGAAACCAGTAACCGTAAACCGATCTTCCGATTCTTGCGACTCTATCCATTCTTCGTTTTCCAGTAAAGAAAACCAAATCCCAATTAGCTCCTCGAAACCCTCTGGTTTCGTTCATCACCCCCTTCACAAGTCGAAGCCCTTGAAGAATCTTCCATTTGGGTTATCAAAATCAGGTGTTCTTGAGAATTTGGAGGAGAAAACCAATGAGGAGATTGAAATCGAGAATGAAATCAGTAGGTTGTATGCAAGATTGGAGGCAATTAGACTCGAAAAACAGGGGAAACCAGTCGCTGCTAAGGTTGTGGAGCCTCTCAAGAACAAGGATTCCGGAGTTAAAAAGATCGAAGAATCGGGTTTTCCTAAAACCAAGATTAAACGAAGAGGTTTTAGTTTGGGACCTAACGAGATCATGTATACAACAAATCCAAAATCAAAACAATCAGGTACCACTCCAATTCAATCCACACAGAACAGAAGGCAATCTTGTTTTTGGAAACTAGATGACATTGAAGAAGAAAGAATTGGGTTCTCGAGAGGCAAACCCCGGCAAGCAATCACAACCGTCGGATCGAAAAGGCCGACAAAAAAAGACGATCTGATTCTCGGAAGTATTCACCCCAAGAAACTATTTGGAGAACAATCGGTTCCTGCTAAGAAGCCATTGAAGCCCGGTAGGGTGATCCCGAGTCGCTACAACCAAGCCACCGTCACTTCATCAATGAGGAAAAGATCGGCAATCGATAACATCATCGGAGGAAAATCTCGTGGGACCGAGGGTCGGCTGAAGAAGAAATGGGAGATTCCTAGTGAGATTGTGATCCCAAAAAAGTTGGATCTTGAAGACGATTATAGCGAGAATGGCTCCGGGGATTTTGCTGGTTCTATCGATGTTGTGGCGCCATTGATGATGCAAGAGGTGGTGCCGGAGGCATTGCCGAGGATTAGGGCTGTCCGGTGTGGTGATGAGCCGGGTCGGGATTCGGGTCCGGCGAAGAGGGTGGCTGAGTTGGTTGGGAAGAAGTCTTACTTTGGGGGTTGTGTCGATGAGGAAAGAGTTTGTCAAATATTGAGTTTTGAAGAAGATTGAGTATGAAAGACGAAATTACCCTTAAAAGGTTTGTTAATTGTTTGTGTTACTGTTTGTGTTTTGGAGAAAGCTGACTTTTGCTTTCTGTTATAAATGGAATATTCATATAATAACATGATGCCATTTCATTTCTATATTTTCTTTTCTTGTTTGGTATACACATATTAAGATGGAACGATTGGAACAATTTAAAAGTTTGTTCATGAATTAGAAAACCGGGTTCGGTTAACCAATAGACCCAATGTGAGTTACTTTGTCAAAATTTGAGTTTTTAAGATCGAGTGTGAAAATGTAAGAAAATATTTGGTTGATTTTGTGTCGGAGAAAGGCAAAGCTTGAGTTTTGCTTTCTATAATATGGAATATTCATAATAAACGTTAATGTTGATATTTTATGCACTTTTTAAAATGCCTTAAAATTTACCTTCACAAAGTTTGTTTGCCAAATAGAAAATCGGTTAAATTAATTTTGTTAACTTTTGTCGATAAAACCGTAATTTAGTTCAATCCAAATCAAATCAATTTGGACCAAAGACGGACAAAATCGGACCAATATATTCTGAACCGGTCTAAGTAACACACATATTTATATGAAATTATATATATATATATATATATATATATATATATATATATATTATACCGGTTCGGCGGGAACCCAGTGGGTGGAGCGGGTAGTTCCGAAAAAAAAAAAAAGGAACCGGAACCGGAACCACTTAAGGCAGTTCCATAACTTTAGGAACCGGAACCGCCTTACGCGGTTCCAGTTCCAAAATCGGCAGTTCCAAGGCGGTTCCAGTTCCAAAAGCGGGTACCCGGTTCCGATGCTCATCTCTACTCGATTAGACCATCTCCAACTCATCTCCATTTTTTCTCCTGTAAATAGAGTAAAAAATAGAGTAAATAGTGTTTCATCTCCAACCCTACTCTATTTTCTATCCCATTTTTTTACCCCAAAAAGTATATTCCTAGAATATTCCATTTTTATAACTTATATATTGTCAAATACACCCCTCTACTAATTAAACTCTATATTTATGATTAATTAATATAAATTAGTATATAACATGATATTATAAATATTAAATATTGCATTTAAAGTATAATTAGTAGATAAAATAAACTAGAAATGTATAAAATAAAAATGAGAGGGACTAAAATTGGCAACCAAACTTCACCTCTATTTTTGGAAAATGGAGGTGAAAATGGGGTAGGAATGGGGGAAGAAATGGGAGAAGATATGGAGTTTGGGGATGGGTTGGAGATGCCCTTAGTACCCTATTTTAAGTCATGCCCGATGCCAATAGGTCCCAGTGCATGACTATGCAGATTGATGAAAGATCAATTCACAAACTAGTCCCGAATTAGTTCGAACTTTATGAAATTTGATCCATTATTTTTTAAAAAAATGAGATTATTCATGACAAAAAATCAAAAATGACAAAACAAAATAAAACATTCGGTCAAGTTTCAAGATGCTCGAATGAAGGTGGTTATGGACAAGTCATCCGCCAAAAAGTTTAGTACGGGCTGGTCGAATTTGATGATGTCACTGTCCGGTCCGAATTAGTCACTTTTGATAACGTCCTTGCTTGATCAATACGAAAAAACCCTCTTAGTGCGGCCATTTTGTGCTTCTAAAGGGAGGTCAGGGATTGTATCCTTTTTTTTATACATCCCAACTTCCTTTAATGTAACAAATTGTAACTTTCGAACATAGGTTCGTCAAAATATTGCAAGGGAGAGAAAATTAATATAATTTATATGAGAAATTAAATATCCTCCTACATTTTGATCCTACCAATCCTCCTACCCATTTAAATGATGACATGTGTAATATTAGTATCCTAAAATATCATTAAATTTCATTAAATGAACATTAAATGTTACGCATGTCATCATTTCATTGGGTAGGAGGATATGTAGGAACAAAAAGTAGGAGGATATTTAATTTCTCAATTTATATTAGGTTCCACGATACAAAGGAGGACTAATATTTATTTATACAGCGAAAATAATAACCCTAATATAAGCATAAGGATAAAGAAATGTAATGTTATGTAAATACAAAGACTAAATATAAGGAATATTGATAGAGAAAATTACAAAATTAACCAAATACACTAATTACCTTACAAATTTAGCCAAAAAAAATAGAAATTGCAAAAATAACCACTAAATTCGCAGATGGAAATGCCCCATCTGCGATTTTGGCTTCCATCTGCGAATGTACAAGTGCCTAAAGCACAGTTGTGCTTTAGGCACTTGTACATTCGCAGATGGAAAAGTCCATCTGCGATTTGTACTATTCATCTGCGATTTTGGTTGTGAATCTATAAAACGATTTTTTTTCCTAATTTTTCACTCTTCAATATAGAAAAACTCTCTCTCGGGGATTCCTTTGACGATTTTCTGAAGAAAATGGACGATTATTTCAACAATCCGAAATATGGTTAGATTTTAACTCTTTTTATGTTTTAATTAACATTTATTTAGTATATGTCTTATTATTTTATTATTTATTGTATTAGTTAGTGTAAAAAAAAAAGAATTATATTGTTTTTGATAGGG